TAAGTAGTATATATATATATAGTGTAATCGTGGTAGAGCAGTAGCAGTCGCAGGACAGTAGCAGTAGTAGTAGTAGTAGTAGTAGTAGTAGTAGTAGTAGTAGTAGTAGTATAGCAGTAGTAGTAGTAGTAGTAGTAGTAGTAGTAGTCGTAGTCGTAGTCGTAGTCGTAGTAGTAGTAGTAGTAGTAGTAGTAGTAGTAGTGGTACTCAGTAGTACCTCGCAAGAAGTACAACAGGAAGCATAGCAAGGTCACAGGGAAGAATATATCATTGATCATATGCAGCAAGGATGCCAACAGTCGTCAATCACCATAGTGGTTCCAATCAGAAACATTCTAGGGGAGGACTATTGTCTTTACTGCTGAAACTGCGACCCAAACACAAGCACCTGCTCGTGCAGCAGATAAATGTGCATTCTGCTAGCTGCAGCTGGCGCCGAGGAAGAGCAGGCTATCTTCCCGTGGCATGCATCAGGACTTCGTTCAGAGTGCCATCACTCGTCGGGATGACATTATTCTGCGGCCAGCTTGGACATTCGAAGCACCTGTGTTTTGCCCATTGGAAAAGGCCCAAGGAATCAACGTTTGCATTCAGCTTGACAGGAGCGCGAGGTGTGCGGGTGAAAGGGCCCTGCGCATGGGAAACTGGACACTACTTCGTCGTGGACGGACGTGACGATGAGTGGCCAGAGGTTGGTGTGCAGGGGTTTCTGCAAGAACCCCTGTTTCGACACATGTAAGACTGCAAGTCGTACTTCTCTGCTACTACGAGCCTAGTTGCCGATATCACTGCTGCTACTACTACTACTACTACTACCACTACCACTACCACTACCACTACCACTACCACTACCACTACCACTACCACTACCACGACGGCTTCGACTTCGACTTCGACTACTACGACTACCACTACTAGTGCTACTGCTACTGGCTACTGCTGCAAAGAGATGTCATGACTTGTGTCTTGCTGTGTGTGCTGTGAGGGCTCGCTCGTGAAGATCAAGGCCTGGGTGGAGCAGCGGCTGAACGAGCGGAAAGTCTCCTGGGAGATGCTTCCTGAGGAGCGCGGAGCGGGCTCTCCTGACCACTGAACCCTTGAAGCCTCAAACATGAAGCATCCTAAATGTCCTAAACCCTTCCCGAAAAGCAGCCCGAGGAGGGTGGACCGAGGGAGATGCCCAGCTTCTCTCACGGCTACCAGGTCGTCGGATCTCTGACGCAGATGAAGCTCATCCCTATGAAGGCTGTGAGGGGCCTCAGGCAGCTTGGCGTTGCACCATCGTTGAAGGCATATTTTAAAACGTACGAGAATCATAGTATAGCTTAATATTAACACTGCTATGTTATTGATTCATTGATGCAGTTGACGTTGATGCGGTTGTTGTTGAACACGATGATGTTGTTGGTGCGACGATAACAAGATTGGTGGACATATGTTTCTTATGAAAGAAGTTTTGATATCGGGGTGTGTCGGGCTAGTTGCACGGCTTCTCCAGGAATGTCTTCGAATACACCACTCGGCTCGGCTTGCAGAGCCTGGAGACATTTCAGTTCATGCGGGACTATGATCGCACACAGGCTCCTTGCCGGGGCAGAGGTCTGAAACCCTCCCTACATGCCTTTAAGTCTCGAAGGTCTAAACCGTAATACTACTCTCTTAATTCTGAGTACATTCGACAGGTGATCTACCCTGCAAGGCGGGACTGTGCTCGCGTTGAGTTCCCGAATCCAGCAAAACGAAGCGCTGTCTTGGAAGGCATCTGCCGAGGAGCTCTACTGTGCCGGCGCGAGCCCCGTAGGATTGAGAAGCTTCTGTAGGCTCAAGACCGCAGGTGCAACTTAAATCCCGAATATTTCTGTTAAGCCTGACAGGAATGCCGACGCTTCCCAAGGTCAGGGGGCCCGATGCTGGCGGAACTGAGAGCTTCTTCGCAATCAGCGGGCGTCAGGGTGATCGTCTCCTGCTTCGCCTGGAGGCAAAAACTGCTGACTTGATCCTGACGGCTTGTGCTCTTGCCATTATCATTATCCCTGCCATCACCACCATTAGTGTTGCTTGCAGGCTCATGTGTCTTAGTAAATCGGTTCTATGTCGGGTTATGACGAAAATAACACCGTGTCGGCCACGATCGACTCGGCTTACAAACCCTTACTGGGTCCCCTGATCCTCAGCACGACGAACGCTGTTGATGCTGCTGTTTAGAAATCTGGATGTTTTGCAAGGTTTCCGGGATTAAGGGAACCTTTGCCGCAAGAGAGTTGAGCGCCGTCAGGTATCGGACGCTCATGTGACGGTGAGTGCAAGCCAGTCGTCCGGCACACGCACGTGGCACAGTCAAGAGGCCTCCCTTGCGCTCGGCACTCTTCAAATTTCTTTTCAAGGGCCCTCTTCAGGCAGGACGTTCAGTGATTGAAGTCTTCCTGCTGCTACGCTTCCCTTGGATATAGTCAGTGGTCGTTTGTACCACGTACATTTCTGCGTAGTTTTCATTTCAAGACGCTTACGGATTTGGTAAACTTCCTCGTGTCCCTCGGTTGCAGATGTGGGCTTCTGAGAAACCTAGCGCTGGTCAGCGTCCACAGATACTGGCCTGCGTCACGCATCCATGCAACAGTAATGAAGAAAGCTGCCATGGTTGGTTTTTGTCAAGATTGCAAGGCCATGACTCCTCAGATTTCTTCTCGGGCAGTGCTTAGATGAGCCTTGCCAGGGGCGGATGCGAAAGCGCTTTTTCGTGGCAGGCCGAACCTGAGCTTCGCACTTGTGACACCCACTGGGTATTACGCATGACTCGACACGCCACTGTTGCTCCTGAAACGAGGATTGTCTGACGAGAAGTCTCAGCTACCTTGGGTCCTGTGGGCTTCATCTTTCTTTTGTCCGAGGTTCTTCGTGGGATCGTTGCATCGCCATGGACCAGGATGCAGATCATCCAGACAGGCTTGGGATTGTTTCGGAAAGGCTTGTGCTCCATGCATGTCCTTGCTGGCACACCCAGCAGTTCACGTGACGGTGTGCTAGTTAGCTGCTAGTTCTGCCAGTTGACGATACAACCAGCATCCAGCCAGCTTGATTTGGTGCCATACTGATTGTTGCGTGGAAGCCCATTGCCACTCACATGAGGTATTTCGCGCAGGTAATGGTCGTGCCTGTGTCGCAATTGGTGCCCGGCGTCGGCTTTGTCCAGCCTTCAGATGTGCTAAGGTCTCTCGGAGTTGCGCGGAAGAGTTTCAGATCCTGCTCGACGAGGCATGGGTGCGGACGATGCAGTGAGAGCCGTAAAGAAGAGCTTTGGAGAGAAAGCGCCAGGATCCAAATCGAGCCATCTTTCCAGAAGCGCCCAGATCTACGAGCGGTGGCTCCATGGTCATGGGTCCGGAATCTGGCAAATCAGTCCCTCACCTGGATGGCGATCCACTATCTCACGTTCTGGCATTGTATGGTCCGTCTCCGTCCCTCCGTCCGTCCGTCCGTCTATCTGTCTATCTGTCTGTCGACCTACCCATTTGTCTTCATATACACAAAATTCCAGGATGTGTTGCTATAGTTCAATGTAACATAATATCAACTATCATACGGCCTTATTATGCATCTTGATGTCTTAAGTCGATTTTCACATATTTACGTTCCAGAATAGTAAAATTAGTAAAATACATGCCGCATTCGGTTGGTTCACGTGGTCATATTTCATGTTGCGTTGTATTCTCCTATCTCATGCTGGCTCTGTCGTACTATTCCCCAAACCATGTCGTACACGGCCGTGGTCCTGAATCCTGCTGGTCCATGGGGCCAAATGTTGTGGTCATGTCTCTGAATCCGCCAGTACATGGGGGCAAGCACGTTGGCCCTGGTGCCAGTACTCTTTTTGGGGCCTTGGGGGAGCGTGTTGGAAGTGTTGGTCGCACCTGTGAATTCCGCCCCGGTCCTGCTCGGGGTTTTCCGGTTTGCAGACTCCTGCTGGTCTTTGTGGTTTCTGGGTGGTATTTTGGGGTCTCTTGGTGGCAGGGCGGTCTGCTTTTGGGGGTCTTGTGGGTCTCTCGGTGGTCTCTACTGTGGTGAGCGAGGTTGATTCGTCTGTATAGTGGTTTTCAGGCTTTTCGTGTCGCATCAAACGCAGGTTGAGTTCGAGAAAAGCGTATATGTTTGAGCACGAGATCTTTGCGAGGACAAGAAGTTTCTCATCACTGGCTATCCAGGCCCGTGACCCAGCAGGGTACCGGCGTTAGATGCCTGTGTCCGGGGAATTGATGTTCTCAGGCACCACCTTCGAGATATGCCTAGACCTCCAAAGCTCCCTGGCTTTTGAGCGATGCTTGCTCTGAATCCCGAGCGAAACAGCGTAGCAAACGAGGTGAGAACAGGTGGAAGACCGTGACGTGGAGAAAGCTTGCCGAGACTTTCCTGCACATGCAGGTCTCCGATCCAGGTCTGTATGAAGAAGGATTTGTCAGTGGCAGTAATGGTGCAAGACCGGAATGGAGGTTTGGAAGGATGTGGAAAGCTCTGGAAGAGGTGCGAATTTTTCCGTTTGAAAAGCAACAGGAAGGGTTGCCGGAAGCCACGTGAGCCTCCAAACTCCAAACTGAAAAGGCTTGCTGGCGTCCACTTCTGTTGCATTCGTTCATATCGAAGGGCAGCGTCGCGTCGCATGTTCAGTCAAGATTGTGGCAAGATGCGACCCCAGCCACGACTGTTATGGGATGTCGATAGGACTTACTGCAACAAAGCCAGTCGGAATGTCTTGCTCGATCCGAGTATGTCAAACTCGAGCCAAGGAAGAGGCTCCGAAAGCAATTGCATTCTGACGCGGAGATCGCGGGGATCCCGATCGAGAGCCATTCTTCGTGTCTGAGCCCTGCAATTGCTTCGTTTCTCGGAGACTGATCTGAGAACATGATGGGCATAAGGCAGCTTCGATAAATCAGTTGACATGCAGCAGCTTTAGAAACAGGAAACGTGATTCATCCATCCTGTATCACAATCAGAGCTGGCTTGCACATGTACACATCTAAACCCGAGTGTCCTGACAACGGGATACATGAACGAATTCGGAGACCCCTTCTAGCAAGGGCACGGCATGCGTTCCCCGAAGAAGGTCTTTGGATGATCATGGACCTTGCTTCCTCTACACGCTTATAAGAGCTGTAAACTGAGCTCGGCTCCATGAATTCGTGATAATGAACTGGGCAATCCTCGATTGATTACGGACTGCTGAAGACGCGCCGGTGTCAAGGAAGTCTCCAGCCAACTGCGGTGATTGCCCCAGCTAGCATTTAAGCTTGTGATCTTCCGAAGCGCTTGTTCTGCAAGCAGAACTGCCGGAAAACATGAAGTCCGACACTGGCCTCAGGTTGCATCCTTTCAGCCAAGACTTGTGTTCATTCGCAAGGTGCCCATGCTGCTCGAGCAAACTGCTGCAGACTTGGTTATTGGCAGCTGATCAATACCCAAAGAATCCCAAGTGCATCCAAACTTGGGTTTAGGGATGTTGTCACAAAGCTTTTCGCGCTCTTACAAGAACTTTTGGACTTCCATCTAGACGGTGCTCTTGCAAAGCATTCTGACAAGCTTTGGTACGGTGCTCGCATCCCTGGCCCGGGTCAATGCCAACGACGACCGTTCCGCATGGCGCTGTCGTCTAGACCCCTTGGTGGACTGGCAGGTGACCTGAAGCCTTACACGCACGCATGCTCCCTGAGAGACGTCGAATCGAATGTAGCTTTGCTGCAGTGGGAACGGGACCCCTGTCTCGGAACATTCGGAACACGGAGCAGTCACCAGCCGAAAAGCTGCATGAAGTTGAAGGATGGCTCAACACTAGAGAGTTGCAACAATATCGACTCGATGTGCCAGCGTCTGTGGCCACGGCATATAGCTCTTATTGAAAAGAGTGTTGCAAGTCACGCCGGCTGGCACAAATGGCGCCCTCAGGTTGACCCAGCCCAGTTCGAGCATTTCGTGGAGCTCTTGCGACAGGGCTCCGCTGGGGCTCTGAGAGTCGCTGCCGCATCCAGGCAGAGTCCGCTAGAGTCCGCTAGGCACAAAGCAGGCAGAAGGGTCACTTCAGGGGCTGAGGTTCAAGTTTCAAGATGGTTTGGGCTGCGAATAGTGTGCATGGGGTGCAGGGCTGGAAGTTTCACCGCTCAAAGACCTTTTGAGGGTTCAGGCTGCAGTTCAGGACCCCACTTGAGCTTGTAGGATGTTAGGGCTGGGTCTGATGCAGCTGCCGGATCAGAAGAGAAGCGCACCACACCCCCAAAAGAGTCCTCTTTTCTGTTGCGTACGGATGATATGGATGACAGGCTTCTGCAGCGCGAAGCGCACAAGACCTCCACCTTGGCCAAGGCGGAGACAAGCCTACCTACCATCATTTTGGGCCCCTTGCTTCTCTTCCACCTCATCGCCACCCCTGTCACCGGCATCGCTAGGCCTAATACCGATCAACCAAGCAGTCGGCCAGGTAATTGTTCACTTTCAAGACTGGACTGGTAGAGCGGCTAGGTGTGCACGCTGCATTCAAGTGTCCACGCACTTGCACGTGTGAGCATCGTTACACGTCGTTGTCCTCGGTAGTTATTTGCCATGTGTCTCGAGGTTTTCCTTGTTCCTGTCTCTGTTTTGCTTTTGTTTAGACTGCTGCCTAGCACATGATCCTTGTTGTTGCAAGAGCAGAACGGAGGGAGTGGGCCCGACACCGTGGAGTCGTAGAGCGCTTGCAGCACACGCTTCAGGCCGCGCTTGGCGCTGCGACGTCCATTCTGGACGATCCAGACGGTACACCCGGCATGCTCGCCAAGAGAGAGACACAGCGCCCCTCGGAAGACTTCGCTGCAGCTGGGCATGTAGCTCCGAGTAGAGCATCACCCAGGATATGCGATCGCATGGTGGAATCGCTATTTCAGAGACCTCACGAAGTACGAGCCCAGACGCATCCGAAGCGGAGCTGCAAGCATAGCCCTGTCGAATGCCTTCGGGAGGATTGATTCGCTTGATGCTTCGTGTGCTTCCCAGTATCCTAGGGGCTCGTCGCCGCATAGCAGATGCCACTGCAGCCAAAGAAGCAGCAGAAGCCAAGCTCCTCGAGCTTGAGTCCATCGACAAAGATGAGTTCAGGCTCGCCGCAAGCGCAGTGAACTGGTCCCTGACCGGCGTAGGTTGTTCCGTGAAGTTTTCTGCTCAAGCTGGGAATGTCTACTACACCTTTTGAAATGTGTGGAGTGCCTTTTTCCAGGGTTCCAAGGAACGTGCGGTGTCCAACACCGAAGCGCTCTCCACGGCCCAGTCTTGTCAGGAAGCGACTCACGGATCAACAGCAGGATGTGCAGCAGAGGGAAACGGACCTGGAGACCAACACTTACTTGACGCTGAAAATGAAGCTGGCCGCAGCAGAGGCAGCGGGGAGCAGTATCTGGGTTTCGTTTCGAGTTTGAAGACACGCGTCAGTACCATCGCTCACTCCCGTCAAATTTCCGATGCTAGCGCTCCTGGCAGTACCAGTACTACTGCTGTTGCATGTTTTTACTCACGATTACTCACTGGTGGTACGCTGCTGCTGTGGCTGCATAATGCTGCATGGTGATGCTGCTACAGTACTGCTGCGACGATGCTCTGCCACAGTACTGCTGCTACGATACTACTGCTGCTACAGTACCACTATATTGCAAATCTGTCATGCTAGTACAACTACTCGTACTACCAGTGCCAGTGGCATTGTCTGTGAAACTCGTATTGCGAGTGCTTCTCTTAGTTCTGCTGCTAGAAGCGCTACAGACAGTAGACGTAGACTGATAGTAGCAGTAGTAGCAGAAGAAGAAGAAGTAGTAGCAGCTGCAGCAGCAGGAGTAGTCGTAGTAGTAGTAGTAGTGGTAGTAGAAGTAGTAGTAGTAGTAGTAGTAGTAGTAGTGTTGGTAGTAGTAGTAGTAGTAGTAGTAGTAGTCGTAGTAGGAGTCGTAG